GATGCAGAGAAATCTATGATCTCTAAGGTTAGATTTTTATTCGCTTTTTCCTTTTGTGCTTCTTTTAATAGATTTCCCCCCGAATATCTTGCTTTTACCAATCATATTGACAGCGCTCTATGTTATGCTAAACAGTTGAAGACTGAGTGTGGCAGCCAGTTTACAAACAAACTTGAAGGAATGTTCAAGGTCTGCATGTTTGCTTTGCACATGAATTTATACTCAAGAATTTTTATTTTGCCATCTAGAGCTGGTGCACCTTTTAATTATACGTTCCGTTTTACTGTCTGAAATCTGAACCGGTGCATTCTCTTTCCTCGTGTATTAATGGCCATATTGATAGCTCTCATTTAGATGTTATTATGTCTACAAGTAGGTTATCATGTTGTGCAATGTGGATGGTACTTTTTTTAGTATCTTTATATAACACTTGAGTTGCACTCTTTTTGTGTGAGTGACTTTAGTATGACTCTGAATTTTGGTGCCTGGACTTTTATTCATCTGCAGGATATTGAATTATCAAAGGAGATAAATGAATCATTCAAGCAATCATCCCAGGCTCGGACAAAACTTCCATCAGGAATTGAGATGAGTGTCCATGTCTTAACAACAGGGTAGATTTTATTTCCCTATATATTAATCAAACATGAGTGCGTTATTTTATCACTGAATCTTTCTGAGGCATTTCAATTCCCTTTTTGGTGGCTTAACTGCAGGTACTGGCCCACATATCCACCCATGGATGTTAGGCTTCCACGTGAACTTAATGTTTATCAGGTTTGGTGGAAGCTGTGCAACGGACTTTTGATATTGCTGACACCAGGAAGGTTTCTATGAAGTTTTGTAACATCTTTCATCTATTTGGTCTGTCAGGACATATTTAAGGAGTTCTACTTAAGCAAGTACAGTGGGAGACGGTTGATGTGGCAAAATTCTTTAGGTCATTGTGTGTTGAAAGCAGATTTTCCTAACGGTAAAAAGGAGCTGGCAGTTTCCCTGTTTCAGGTTGGTCTCTACTATACCGTTTATTATGTTTCTCATCTTTTTACTGTTTGATTTTTTTCCTTAGCTGCATAGGTTGACAACTGCTACACACTAATAGTTCTCTGGATTCTGCACACCAGACTGTTGTTCTGATGTTGTTCAACGATGCTCAAAACCTTAGCTTTCAAGACATCAAGGACTCTACTGGCATAGAGGATAAGGAACTTAGGAGGACTTTGCAGTCACTTGCCTGTGGAAAAGTGCGAGTTCTGCAGAAGGTAAGTAGCCATTGCATTATTATTGCACTTACATATTCCTTTCTATTTCTAGTCCTGTTAAAATTGTTACAACTTGGTTTTGGCTTTATGTTTTTCCTTTTTGTCTCTAATCTGTGTGCTACAGTTGCCCAAGGGGAGAGATGTAGAGGATGATGATTCATTCATTTTCAATGAATTATTTAGTGCTCCTCTCTATCGAATCAAGGTACATCCATTTGCTGTGTTAAACTGTAATGATCAGAAAAGGCTTCTTGGAAAATTGAAATCAAACTATTTTCCTTGTTACGAATTGCGATTAATTTCCAGTGTGGTCCCTCCGAATTTCTGAGCACAACCGTTTCATCTTTAACCTGATTGCTGTCAATTGCTGCCCATATTATGCAGCCCAATGTCCGCTCTCACCATTATTTTAATGGGATGCAGGTGAATGCAATCCAAATGAAAGAAACAGTGGAAGAGAACACTAGCACCACTGAAAGAGTATTTCAAGACCGTCAATATCAGGTTTGCTTATGTTCCTTTCCTTTGAAATAATTAAACGTAATCTTTCGTGATGTTTCAGATGAACTAATCAAATAAAACATCTGCACACTGGTTTTCTGTGTCTCAGGTCGATGCAGCTATTGTTCGAATAATGAAAACAAGGAAAATCTTGAGTCACACTCTTCTAATAACCGAGCTCTTCCAACAGGTAAGCATTTTCTGATTGCTTCCAAATCCAAATGCTTAGAAATAAGACTTCTACACTGTCCCTAGTGATGTGTCTCGTGAAATTCAGTTATAAGCTGCGAAATGAGCATCATCATAGCAAATACGAATTACATTTTTTTGAAGAGTTGAAGAACACCAGTGATCTTTCATTATATTATTACCCTATAGGGGGGGGTTATCTGTAGAGCACGAACAAATGCTAAAGTTGCAGTTTTATATATTAATTAACCATGTGGAGAAAAATGTTTGTTTGTTTGAACAGCTCAAGTTTCCTATAAAACCAGCTGATCTGAAGAAAAGGATCGAGAGCCTGATTGACAGGGAGTACCTGGAGAGGGACAGGAACAACCCACAGATATACAATTACCTGGCATAGTTTTCATTTTTTTTTTCCACACTAGATCTGCTTGGGAAAGTGACACGGGAAACCCTAGTCATTATCGAAGAGGCAGGATGTTGAAATCCTTTGTCAGATGAATGTACAGTAGCCTGTAATCTTTTTTTTTTTTAAATACCTTTGTTTCAGTCAACATTGTAATTACAAAGGTATATCTTTAGCTTCTCTGTTTTTTGATGGCATATCTTATCGTGTTATGAATTTGAGCTACTTTGAAATCTACGAATTGACTCTCTTCTGAGATATCATGCATTGTTGCATGGCCTGGGCCGAGTCCAACAGTGCTTCCCAAGGGAAAGCCAGCTTACATCTTCTTTCTCTGAATAATTCTCTTATTATTTATCATGCATTATTTGCACGTATCCTGCGTTATTTGTTACAATTTTAGGTGATTTTATTTTTTCTGATCTTGGTTGCACGGTTTTTCATCTTTTATTCTATTTTATTCCTAAACATGATTTAAATTAAAGATTTTTTACTTTTAACAGAAAAAAATAATTATTAAATTATTTAGATCGTTGATAATTTTAAATGATATTTTTGTCTGTATTTCACCATTTAATAATATTGATATAGTTATAATGTGATTTGTTTAACAATAAATATAATTATAATGTTATATAATATTATAAATTTATAATATAATTTATTTAATGATAATATAACTATAATATAACATAATATTATAAATTATATATTATTTTCATATAATGTATTTTAAATGAGAATCTAATTACAAAATATATTTTTTTTGAACAGGGCTATAAATATGGGGAGGGAGAATTAAACCCTAACCCTCAAGTCGGAGAATGCACTTTATAAGCCGATCAATGGTCATTGGATTGTGAGATCTAGGTGCAATTACAAAATATTTTTTTGTGTATTTATTTATTTAAAAATATATCACATTTTTTTAATACAAAATGAAAAGGAAATTAAAATATTCTTGTTAATTTTTCAATCACACCATGAATATTAATAACTTATTGATTTGACATAAAAGAGTTTGATTTTTTTAAATAAAATTTACAACTTCGCTCTTATTAACAGGGAAAAAGATGTTAAAAGAGTTTTTATTTATCGATTAGTAAGTTCTGAGAGGATAATATAAAAAAATAACACCGTGAATTTCATCGAGAAAACAATTCCAATTAAGAAAAAAAAGAAAAAAACAACAACAATTCAATTACAAATCTGGAATCTCTGATACCATTTTACAACTTCCAAACACACTGTTAGATTCTGTTTTCTTACCCATGGAAACATGGAACAAAGCACAGGAACAGTAACAAACAAGAAACAACAAACGAAAGGAAAAAGGAAATAGAAATGCAAATTATATGATCAAACGGCCTTGATTGAGGTGGAGGAACTGGAATCGGCCTCCAACGGATCGGGGTTAGAATTGGAGTTAGGGTTGAGAGGAGCGCGAATATCGTTGTCGTCGGGGTCGTAATCGGGATTCAGCGACCGATCTATGGCTTCGCGGCCTTTCTTGAGGCAAGGCTTGCAAGCGATCTCAATCGCTATCCATCCCAATACCACGCCGGCTATCGCGATCACCGCGCTTGTTATCGCCGCCATTTTCTCCCTCCCTGCGTGTGTATGCGGTCCGTTCTCCGACTCTCACTCCCTCCTCCCTGTCAGATCTCTTTTTCCCTCCTGGAAATCCACAGAAGAGAACAATAACTTTGATAAAGCTGTATTTCCACCAAAAAAAAAGAAAAAGAAAAAAAGAAGCTGAATTGAATTAGTCTTGCTTAAGCCCATCAAAAGCCCAAATCCAAAATAATACCCGATCTTTATATTGGGAGACATGCACCTCGCTAAGAGTTTAGGAATTTAACTGCAATTTTGGAGATTTAAAAAAAAATAATTATCTTGTAGCTCAAAATGCATCTGATTGCAAAGCATAAATTGTTGGATGATGAAGATCGCCAATAATGGGTGAGGCCTTTTTCATTTTAATAATTAATATTTTACAGTTTGACGAGATCTAAACCATAGAATATCAAGCAAATTGTAGCTCGAGAGGCAAAGATTTACCTTGGGAGACCAAGAGAGTGATAATTTCTTGCAAATGTTACAGACCTTATGGTATTGATTTATATGAAAATTTGATATGTGACATCTAATTTAAAATTAAAATCAATTAATAATAAATAAAATAACTCATTTTATATTTAAATGTCATAGTGTTAATACACATGAAAAGAAAAGTTGTTTGGTAAAGTATTTCTTTTATGAATGATTACAAATATTAGTATATATTATCAACGAGTTTTTTATTTCATTGTTTGTAGAAAAAAAGATATAAAATAATAATCCAACACTATGTGACCTAGTGACTATCCTCTTTGTGAAAACATGTTTGAACGTGAAATTCTTGATATTTATTCTCATGCACTATTCCTCCTATCTCCAACAATTCCCCAAGTCAAAAAAAAAAGAAAAAAGATCTAAAATAATACAAGGAGATCTATCTTTCCTTTGAAGCTGAATGCCGATATCAGTCAAAGTTAGAATTGCTGCTATTTTTTATGGTCCATGATTAGTGGCTGTATTAAAGGCTTTACATGCAAGCTGGAAGATGTGCTTTTCTTAAAATTCAATAATGAGTAAAGTGTTCTATAATAATCTAATTTTCTTTAAAAGTAAAAATGGAATTAGAAGTTTTTTAGGATTCAAGTGTAGACACTGAAATCTGAAAAGGGATAGCAAATTTAATGTAAATCCAACTAATGAAGCAGAGGCTCTAAACTAGTGATCATGTGATATCAATCATTCAGATTTCAGATGTTTGGAAGCCAACCAACAAAGAAACAAGGGTAGATTGTATGTTACTGAATAATATTCAACAGGCACAGCATAAGCAGCCCAAGTTGCCCCTTTATTTATTTATTTATTATTATTTTTAATTTAAGTTGTAGTCTCCTTTCATAAGGAAAAGAAAGGAGTCTGGTTGATCGGATCCAAAGTCTTCAACCAACAAAAGAGCTGTCACTGCAGAGTTTGAGCAGAGAAATCATGGAAACTGTCTGAACATGTGATAATTATGCTAGACCGATAACAATCACAAGAACAATGAAACACTTACCCTGTTGGGAACAAGAAACACGCAACCATGTTAATGATTTAGACTTCATTTGATAAGAGTATCATAGAAAAACATCTTATATTTGATTGAGCTCATGAACATTACATTGAACAATACATGTGAGAGATACATGAGAGATAAGAACAGAGGCTGAACAATTGCATAAAAGGAATACATCTATTCCGATAGCACACATCCGTTACCACTCAACAGCTTTAGTAATTTTGCATAGTTACAATTTATTTAAATAGCACACAACAAAAATATGAGATGCAGTTGAAAGTTAAGCAAAGAGAACCTGAGAACTTGAGGGTGTCAAGTCAGAGAAACTTTCTGGTGCATCAATGACATACCACTCAACACTGAAGCTCCACTTTTCTTCACAAGTATCCTTTTGGTTCAGCCTTGATATATGTCCTGCAGCTACATGAAGATTACGGCCAACAACATAAATTTTGTTATCACATGCATTGACCGCAAAAGGTTTACATATCTGCTCCGGTAATGGGGGGCCTTCTATTGTGTCCCACGCATCACTGTTTGTGTCATAAACCTTAAGCTTCATCCGTTCAAACTCAGGAACCACAAACAGGTGCCCATAGACCACCACACTTGAACCTAGCCAGCCCTCTCTCAATCCAACAGGCATACTCTCCCAGTTATCAGTTCTAGGATCATAAACCTGACCTCGGGGAGAGACAAAGAATGGCCACAACCAGCCTTCTGTCACAAGAAGCTTCCCATCAAGAACTGCTGCATCATAAGATGCCATATTGGTTCCCATGCTGGCAATAGGCTGCCAGCTCCCCTTTACAGGGTCCAAAACCTCAGCAGAATCGAGCTCATAAAGATCTGTGCTGTTTCCCCCAGCTACATATATCAGCCCGTCAATCACCCCACTTGCAAAAAATGACCTAGCCGTGATCATCTGATTCATTACACTCCATTGGTTTTTCTGCATCTCAAACTTCAATACCAGGTCAAGGGGGCAATCCACATCAGAGACCATGCCCCCACAAACAAAGAGGGTACCCTCATGGGGAACTGAAATGCATCTAAACCCATGAGGGCAGGCCTTATCTTTGCAGGGCATTGCTGGGATGGTATGCCAAGAGAAGTGGGTGAGGTCAAGAACCTGCCATTGAATTTTTCCTGTACACTTGTGGAAAGCAAATACAAAGAGCCAAGGTTCTTTGAAACCCATTTCCTTCCTTCGAGTAAAAAAGCATTCTTTGTTTCCAAATAGTAGATGCCATCGTTTGCATACAGCTCTGCAAGCTGAATGACTCTCAACTGGAAGCCGAAGGAGACAGTTTAGTGCAACATCATCAGGAAGGCCTGGAAGAAGGCGTTCACCTATGAGAGATGACTCCAACTCCAATGAAGGATTTAACAAAGAGGATTGAATCACAGCTAACCTAAACTTCGGTGACAAGGCAATCTGAGAATCCCCTAGCTTGTATACTGGAGCCTGTTGAGATGATAATCGAACCCTTTGCATTATTTCCCCTCTAAAAAAAACCAGTACCTAGAGCCCCAGATGACCACCAAAAGAACCTTGTTTAAACCTGATATACCCTTCTAACTTATGTTACCAAATGGATTTCTCAATAACAACAGTTTCCACGTTCAAACCCAACTCCCAAAGATCCGAGCCATGGAATCTATCCCAACTTCTCAGTTCCTTAATTCTAATAAAGCCTTAGTGAAAACCAAAATCTTATATCGGAAACTACACTAGAAAGAAAAACACTAGTTTTCTTCCTCAAAAATCCTTATTAGACAGAATCATAACCCCCAGAAACCAAATTCAGACTATATGCATCAAAGAGAACAACCTCAACTCTTATCTCATATATCAATACACAGCTGCCGGCTGTCAAGATGCCGATTTCAGTCTTAAAGCTATTAAATAGCTAGAGAAAGATTTAAAAAAAAAAAAACTGGTGTAACTGTCGTGCCACAGATAGAGAAATAAAATACACTCAGAATCCAAAAAAAAAAAAAAAATTCAGCAGAGCAGATGACTACACTCTAGATAGAGCACCTAAACCTCAACCCTTCCCCCTAAGTAGCAATAAACTAAAAACCCACACAAAACCCAGTATGGAAATGAATTGTTTTCTCAGCTACAAAGATTGATGATTAAAAAAAAGAGGCCAAACCCAGAAAAATTCTCACTCCAAAACAACTTAGAAGCTAAACCCAGATAGAAGAAACAAGAACGGCGACTTACGAATAGGAATTTGCTTGATAGTTGGTATAAAGTTGGAGACTTTGATGAGATTCAGGCCAGTTTTAAGCTCAATGGCGGTGACCAAGATGACTATTCTTGTTGTGAAAGCTCTGATTATATTTCCGCAGTGGCTGAATGGATTCTGTAGGGAAGCAAATGGACGCGCGAAACGGATGTTATCCAGCACGCGCAGGCAGCAAATTAGGTAGCTTTCCCTTCATCGGCGTTATGCGTTATTTGTGCTGCAGGCTTGGTTAATTTGCAGGGTAATAGTGTTGTACTGTGTTCAGTCGTAACTATAGTTTTGAGGGTTTTTTTTTTTAATATATAAAATAGTATTTAAATTAATAAAAATATATTTAAAAATTAAAATTTTAAATAAAGTGTTATATAAAAAATATTAATGTAAAGTATCATAAAAAGAAATCAAAGTTAAATTAAATGTAAAAAGTATTTGAATTAACAATTCAAGTAGAATCATTATCTATAATTCATATGTTTTTAATTTATTTGATTAAAATCAAGCAGTTAATAACTATTTTTGAAAAGTTAAAATAATAATAATAACACTTGAAACCGTACCATTTTATTAAATTTTTATTATAAAAGACTAAAATAACTTAATTTTATTTATTTATTTTTTTGACCAGGTAGATGGTTAGGAAGTCAGTAGAGTTAGTTTGTTAGCAGTTGGAATTTTTTCAGCAGTTGGAATTTTTTCAGGAAAGTGAACATTTCACCCCTCATTTGAGGCGCGCGACCATTAGGTCGCAAGTTGGTGGAGTTCACGGCGGTGGCAGAGCTCGAAGCCCTGACCTCCGTCTCACCCAAACCTTAAGTCTCACCCAAACCTTAAAGCTTGGGAGCCAACCAATTGGACCACAGACCCGGTTGGCCTAAAATAACTTAATTTTAATAAAAAGAATGTGTTTATTTTGATTTTTTTATAACACTTTAATAAAATTATGTAATTTTAAAATATTTTTCTTTTAATTTCATCAAGATTTGGCTGTTTGATTAATAAGTAGTAATTAATAAGTACTAATACAATAGAAAAAAATATTTTAATTTTTTAAATAGTTAATTTTAACATGTTAACTTATAATAATAAAATATTAAAACTACAAATTTATTGCTAAACTATTCATTAAAATGAATTCATTAATTTAAATTTTTTTAATTTCTACTATATTATTGTTAGTGAAAAATATGTAGTTATCATACTTATAAAAAAATTAAATTAAAAAACTCAAATTATATCATTTTAATCAAATTTTATCAAAAAAACTATAACATCAATCTTAACTTTTAAAGTAAGAATAACATTATTTTAATTTTTTCATAATACTTGATTGAAATTATATAGTTTTTAAATATTTTCACTTAATTTTTTTATGAGTTTACTTATAAATATTAATATTTTATTATCAAATCTTGATAAAATGTTACGGTGAAAAGTTATTAATTTTTTTATATTTAAAAATTATATTAACTTTTGACTATTTGAGAATCAAGTTACTTGAATTTTATGAAAAAGAAAAACTTTATTAATACCTATTTATTTATTTACGAGATTTAAATATAAAATTTTATTTTAAAAAAAAACTAAATTTTTTCATTTAAATCAATATATATCATTGGTAGTATCACCATTTTAACCAAGTTCCAAGCCTATCCGTTCTATTTAGCCGTATTTCACACGCGCTTGGGAAGCGAGTGTAGCTGTTGTTGAAACATGTGTTGTTAAATTTGTAATCCTTGAGAAGGAATATAAAGGTCCAAGTACCAAACGCGTAGTTTAAGGTAAGTGATGTAATTAAGCGGATAATCAGGGGCCGAATAAAAATACTGAGGACCATGCTGTCCTAGGCTAATGCTATCACGACAGTCCATCAATCATACACCACTGGACCAATTACAATGTGTTTAACGAGTGTGCCTTTTTTTCTTTTCTTTTCTTTTCTTTTATAATGGTTTTTTAATTTATAATTAAAATGTGTAATAAATATATTTTTATGATAAATTTATATTAAAAATAAAAATTAATTTATGATTTATTAATTATTTAATTAAATTCATTCATATAATAACAATATTAAAATTAATATTAATTTTTATTTTTTTTTATAAAAATTTATGATGAAAAGGTAGTTTCAAAAAATCTTATTTATAAATAATTAACATTAAAATTATTTATTTTGTCATATAAATGTATTGAATTGTAGAACAAAATTTATTGGAGGAGGGATAACATTCAATATTAAAGGTTTGACTATTAGAGTTGTTTAGTATAATAGTTTAAAATTAATAATTGACAGTTTTGTTTAATTTTATGGTTAATAATTACTAAATTTGATGATGATGATAATAATAATAATAAAAAATTTAAATACTCTTATTCATTAAGTTAATAAAAATTATTAATTACTAGTTTCAAATTATTATACTTAATAACCATTTAATAATTTAAATTGAACAATTTAAATTGTATAATACTCTTTATTAACTTTAGTAGATTGTTTTTATTAAAATAACATTATATATATATAAAAGAAATGCACACCATACACGCCATTATATTTAATATATAAGGGTGTTTAAATCTTCTTTTTGGAGCTGAAAAAACTTTGGGTTGAAAAGGGAGAAAGAAAGAGGTTTCCACTTGAGCTATTTTCAGCAATCTATTTTGGAAATAAAGTATAAAACGATAAGGATAATGTATTAGAGATGATAAAGGAAAAGGCGTTTAGACTTCAAACCTACCAAGGGAATCAACTATTGAAGCACCTACCTCCCACCAAACCAGTCATTCTCATCATCTCATTTATCTTATAATTGCAAATTGTTGTCAAATCTTTAATGGGGTTGGGTCTACTCTCATTTTTGAGGATGAGAGAATTCTTGGAAATTTGGGGAGGGGACCAGCCTAAATTGTGGTACGGAGAATTTGATCCCTTATGTTGCTAGCTCCAGGTTCAAGTCAAGAAAGAAAGAATAGAAAAAAAAGAGAGTACAATATGATGAGGACTTTCACAAATGCTCTCCCCAAAACATGGACTAATTTGTGGTAGCTTTGAGCATTATGGGCCTCAACCTCTCCAACTAACTCACATTGATCGTAGGCATTGACACCTACTATTTGTCAGAACGTTATTCGGTTAATACATTATTTTTTTGAAATAAATGTGATTAAGGAGTGATTGGTTAGCCATTCTCTAGGGAAACTGCTATCTTAGAAGTTACATACCTCTTGTTTAATTAATTGCACCACATTTTAATCAACCAACTTTATAATTTAATCTACTAAAGTCGATGCTTTGACAATATCACATTTTGGGTTTGAGCACAACTTTCTAGGATTACACCCGACAACACTCTCCAAGAGCGGTAGCTTTTCTCCTGAAAACTGCTATCCAAACACACCATTAAATGATTAAAAAAAAAGGAAAAAGAACACCATTAAAATGTAACTCTTCCCTCAAAAGTAGTTCAGTTTCTTTCATGTTTTGTTTGGTAGACCTTTTATGATTTCACCTATGCATACAGTTTCTATCTTTCACATAGAAACGCCCTTCTCCAATTCTGTATTATTAGAAGTTGATGGAATACCGAATAACAATTCAAAGTATGTACTGGTGCAGAAGGGAAACCACCTGAGAAAAAGTGCATGAGAAAATATACAGAAGCCAATCCTTGCAATTTAGAAGTGACAAAATCTGGGGAAGAGAGGAGGAAAAAGATGTTCAAGAGCGGTTACCTTGCATCCAGATATGACAAAAGTAGGAGCTGGAGTGGAAAAAATTCAAAACTGCTTATGTAAACATATTAACAAGCAGCCAAAGGCAGTAACTGATTTCATGTGAGCAAAGAGCCTTTATGACCCAGATCAAACCAAATAGGAAGAAAACAAAAGAAGCTAATATTGTATTGCAACTTCAATATCCTTGTGGATTCAACAGAGTGTTACATCAATAGACAATTATAAATATGTTTTCTCAAATATTCTTGATTTGAGAGGAAATGGTACAACATATAAGCTTAAGCTATCACAATCCATATTAAGTAGGATCTTCATTGTCCTAACCTCAAACAGAAAATGAGAAGTCTTATTTGAGCTTACCTCCTCGTGGTTTGCTTTGTGGTAAATCTGAGAAACCTTTCAACAATCACCAAATCTGACAGAGGGTTATTGGAAGTTTTTCTAAAGACAGCTGAATATCCAACCTGAAAGTACATTGTCAAGTGCCACCTCCATGAACCACCCTTCTGTCCAACAAAATTGCTGACACTGGTAGAGAACCACCAATAGCTATATTCACAGAGGAAAAAAAACACAATCAAGTAATCAGGCCAAAGTACATCTCTCACTTCATTCTCACCTTGCCAGTGTCTGAATGTAAACCTATTTATCCTGGGGTATCTTTAGCTCCTATAAGCATGGGAAAGCCACCAAAGTTTCAAACAAAATTACCTATCAGCTGGGCGAAAACTTCTTAGACATGTCCTAGCTTTTAGTTGCCAAAATGACTTAAGGTTTCAACAAGATAGGATATGTGACGTGGGACAGCTTAGGGGGCATGGTGGGCTTGGGGATTTAGTGGCTGTATAGGGCAGAAAAAGAAGAACAAAACCAAAAAAATGACAAAAAAAGATAAAAATCTTAAGAGTCACACCTAGGTTTCTTTAGGCATCACACCTAAAGAGGATAAAAAACCTTAAGCATTACACCTAAAGAGGATAACAACCCTTAAGCATCACACCTAAGGTTAGTTGCATCACACAACCAAGATTGCATCACACAATCTCAAGAGAAAACTCTTGTTGCAAATTCCTAAATATTCTATTACTTGACTGAATAATGAAAGAAGTTACAAGCATATTTATAATCCTACAATTCCTAAATTAACTAGAAATAGAATTCCTATTCTAATTAGACTAGGACTTAAGACTTACTCAAAATATGAAGATACCTAATAAGACTCTTAAATAAAAAATCTAATCCTAATAAAACTAGAAAACTAATAATAATCTAAAATAACACTTGAATAATCATAATTACATAAAATACTAAATAATCTAAATAACTATTCAATAGCTTCTTGTTCCTCATCAATATGTTTTTAGTGTCCAATTTCTCTGCTATATATAAGTTGCTGAGTATTTTGACCAACTAATGGTTTGGTACAAATCAAATTAAAAAGGTGTGTGATATAGATAACATTTTGAACAGTAGACCTGGCATCTAATGGTAGCCATATGTTAACATGATCCATTAAGATGAGACAATGAAACAGACTCCAAAAGACAACTAAGCCTAAATAAGCAACTGATGAATTCTGAGAACAAACTTAATTTCAATCTCAAGCAACAACCGAAGACCAAGAGTACCAATAGGGCATCATAAAAGATGTCTGGGATATCAGTTGATATTTATGTACTTCAATTGCTGTCAAAAGTTCACCTAATAATTAGCTTCATTCTCAAAAACTTGAGTTAATCTGTCAAAACTGACAATTTATCCTTTTGACACAGTGCAGAAGGACCTCTTGGGGACATAAGTTCAGAACTAAATTACTAGGTAAAATAGAACATAACCTGTAGACCAAAAAAAACAAGGAGCATATTGAATCAGTGTACTCAAAATTTTGGCTTTTGTTAGAATTGTATGCTGTCTACTTAATCATCTAACTTCAATAAATCGATAAAGTGATAGTCAATGTTATGATGCATAATGCACAATCCATCCCCGCTGGCATGGAAGAGAATGGATGGAGGAGCATATATTTACTACATTGCATACAGTCTCATAAGTTGCTAGATAATTCATCATTCTCCATTTCTCTCAAAATTTAAGGTAGCTAACTTGTAACATCAACAAATTTGAGTTCTAAAACACTAACAAGCCTAATTGGAAAACAAAATGCTCAAAACAGGAAATCAGTGGGTAAACTTAAAAAAAAAAAAACACTCAACCAATGGATACTTCTGGCAGAAATTAAAGTTAATTATGGAATCAGTTCCTCTATGATGATACAAGTATACAACTAACAAGAAATTTTTTTTTTCTTTATAAAGGATCATCTTTTCAAATCATTGAAGGTGAAATTGGCACTTCACGCATCTTCCAAACATATAACTTATAGATACACAATCAATCCCACTACTTGTCTCACCTCAATGGCCCATTCAGCGGTTTTAATTTGCTGGTTAAAGACCATACTCATTAAGACCCAAGCAAGATAAATGTACATGATAACATGCAAGAAAATTATTGGAATAAAAAACCATTTATCTATCTAATTGTTCCATTGGATTGGCCCAATAACTCTGTAAAAAAGTGTCCCCCAACAATGAGCAATGGTTCTTATGCTATTGACTCTAAATGACCACTTGACTGCTTGTAAACAACAACATTAAAAGAAGAGAGATATAACCATCATTCCCAAGTATTTCCTTCTCTCATTACTCAATCAGACCTACACGATTCTAAGAAATCCTCAAAAACAAATATTTAATCAAGCTCCAAGTTATCCACAAAAGCAAGAAGATTAGACATGGTTGACCAGAAAATAGAGAACATATCTTCATTTTTTTTCCTTTTTGCCAAAACACACACATTGTTCAACAAGAAAAAAAAAAAAAAAAACAAACATTCCTCACCAGGAGGAGAAGCAAACATTCATTGCTAGGAGCTATCTGTTCTTTACTATAATAAAAACACATAAAACTACAGATGCAGCGACAAATCCAGATCTACTTGACCCACCACTTCAGCATCAAGAGCTTTTGATGCAGAAACAGAATCATTAACATCCACAAAATGCTGTAGCTCTTTTTTCCCAGGCTCCTCTGACTCCATTTCCAGGCCAGAGATGTTTTTCTGCTTTTTGGAATTAGCATCACCAGTTGCTGAGCCTTCTCCTAAGTGGGACCTCTTACTGCCACCAGTTGATAAACTGTCATGGTCATGGTGACATTTATCGGTATTAAACTGACTGATGGTATCTGAACCCACATGCAGAGAGAGATCTGTGACAGCAGGGCCGCCAGCAGGAGCAGAAGCTGTTGCAGATAAACGGCTAGACTGGTAGGTCACATCAGCACTAGAGCCATATGAACAGTTTGGAGATGGGACAGATCGGAGTCTAGGAAGTCTGAGATTGTTTCCAGTGAGATTGCTGGCATCTGCTGGGTTCATTTCATTTGTGCAGAACATTCTACGAAAGCCAGAAGGAGAGGTTGCTCTAGTGAATGGAGCTGGGTGGACAAGGTGGTCACCATCTACCCCAGAGGAACGCTGGCCTTGGCTGTTGGGAACAGATAAACGGGGATTCCTAGCAAATTGAAAGATATTTGATAAACGGCGACGAGAATTCCTAGTCCTTGTTGAACTTTTTTGTTTATGAATTCTAAGGTGGCCCCCTAAAGCTCGACGGTTTTTGAATGTTCTGTTGCAGTAGAAGCACGATTTGGGACCTGTACTGTTCTGTGCATCTTCTCCAGATGGAAGGGAATTCATATTTGAAGGTGAAAAGGGGGAACAACTTGAAGAAGAAGAAAGAAAGAGATGGGAACTAGAAAGCACAAGGATAAGCTTGCAAAGAGGTGTAGAAGGCCCCATTCCTCACCCCATTTTATATTCATTTGAGGGGAAGGGAAAAGGTCATATGGTTACTGCTAATTAAGGTAAATGACAAAATTAATTAAAACCATTTACCAAAAGGAAAGCACAGGAAGAACAAATAGGTAAAAGCTGCCAAAGAAGTCTTATCCACCATAACCCACATTTAGAATGGTCATAAATACAGGTGAGTAGGAAAATAAAGTAATAATCAAAACATTCAAGAGTCACTGGTATAGGCATTGGTTCATAGTTTGTCTTGGGTAATGGGTACTAGTAACCCGTTCGGGTAATTGATTTGGTTCAACTACTTCTAGTTCTAGAGCTTGAACTGGTGCCCAAACTGATCCTAGAATTTAGAATCAGTATACCCAACCCAATAACTCCAGTTTAGGTTCAGAACCAAACTGACCAGTTCAGTTCATTCTAACTCCTGGGAGATGGTTAAGGCGGCAAACAAATCGAGCTCTACCCAAGCAAATTTACATAGGCCGAAGTTTGAACTAGATCTTGGCTTGGTATACATCTTCAGTACTTGAGTTAGGCTTGAAATGCAATCATTTAACCAAAAGCTCAATATTGAGCTTGAATTTGAACTCGTTATTGAGCCCAAATTATTGCAATTTATATTAAAATAATAAAAATTTAATCAATTATATTCTAAGTACAAAATAATATAATTAAAAATTATAATTGAGCCGAATCTCAAGTTTGGCTCTAAAATTTAATTGAGCTTTGAATTCAAGCTTCTTCTCGATAATAATCAAAATTGAGCTGAGCTTAAACAAACTCAAGCCTGAACTGTTCGTTTTGCAGCGTGACAGTGCTATGTCATTATAATGTGCATATTTGTGCTCAATAAAGTCATTTTACTCTTCAAGTTTCTGAAACAAGAAATTAAAGAAACATATAAACTATCTTCCTTATCATCAGAACTGACCAATTGTTGCTATTAAATGTAGTAAGAACTATTGTCATATCCTTTCACAAGACAAAGAACATGACATGTACTAGCCCAAAAGACTTAACAAATTGGCAGCTAAAATTTCTTCTTTCCTTTGTTTCAAGCCAAAAGCTTTGCGTGAAAAATGACAAAGGAATCCACATTAACTGCATCCAAGAAAGCTGATGACAACAAAGACAGGCATTTACTTAAAGTCACTAGAAAGACCACATGATGTTTGTGTGCACACACACGCTTCCTTGTACATGTGCGTGTGCATGCGCATGTGTTTACTTGCATTTCTTATCACTGATGATCTTGTATCTAGATTAACATATGGCTTTCCCTAAGTTTGTTAAAAGAATCGGGTAACTCAGATAGTATGATTACATCAGCCATACAAAGATGGTATGATGACACGGAAAGAAGTACCAGCCAATACAAGGAGCATTTCATCTAAATATAAAAGTTTCTACATTTCTGGTGGTCACATAAATCCATCCAGTGTTCATCTCATGAATAGACAGTTTTTTTTACTAAGCTTTCCTGGGTCTCTCACTCCAACAGAATTTCCAGAGTGAGCTATGCATGAGAAAGAGCACAGTTCTTAAAAGAGCATATATGGATCTCTTTTGAGTATTTATTGCACTATGGTTCTTTGATTCAGGTTGAACTACAGATGGATTAGCTAGTTAAGTAGAAGTGAGAGCTCGTAGCCTACCTTCATTTGTATACAAAAGATATTTTTGTGCAAATTAACAGAGTTCATAAGCTGGAGCAACTTACTGGCAAAAAGGTAAATTTTTTTTAAATAAACTTAATTAAGGCATTAATTCCCTCTTTTCATGCAAACTTAATAATGCATTAAACTTAAGTTTATCGGAGAGATTTCAGAAAGATTTGCTTTAGCTGTCTTGTAGTTGTATATCTTCAAGAACTCTTCTCCAGACTTCCTAACTAAATACTTGTAAGTTCATATCATCTCCTTCTCATTTGATATTGGGCAAGTGTATCTTTGCTCTCTCACGCTAAAGTGATATAGTTAACGACATGTTTGTGTTTATATTATTCCAAATAATATTTATTTCTTGCTCTTTTATGCATCCAATTGAACCTAAAATATCACCTATTAATTACAAACACACAACACATGAGAGGCAAATCTGCAGCCAACACTAATGAGAGAGGCTCAGAGGAAGGATGCAACTATTTTAGCTAGATGAGCCATCAAAGAAAAATTCTAATGCAGATTTTAAAGATATTAAGTATGATTGCCAGTATATTAATTTTTTGAGAATTTGATTAGTTTAATAGCATTAAATTTACAGGACAAATAATAAATTCATTATTTACCAAAATAAGGGTGCATAATGAGTCGCAATCCTGCTATATGAGGAAGCCATAATTGATCATATAACATATACATGCAATCAAGCCTAGGTTCTTATAGGCAGTCTATTACCATGAAAGTTAAAGAGCCTCAGAGGCTAACGAAAAGTCAAAATTTTAAACTTTTATTTGACTATAATTTTCCACCATAGCAGATGATTGTTGTCAAATAAAGATAATGTAGGCATGGTGAGCCGTTCACCATTTCTTCAAGTGGCATCTATGGCTCGATAGGAATGGTACCAATGCTCCAGTGCATTCCAAAGCAGGGCTTAAAAGACATACTTACACTTAATCCATTTTCACCTACAAGGTATAGACAACAGATCCTCTTCCTCTCTCTCTGCCGGTCTCCTTAATTCCCCTAAATTTATACATTCCTCCAGGAAAATTTTGTCTTAACAAAACAGCTCAAAACCTCAACTACGCTTATGGTTATCTAAGTCTCATAATCCCAAAATCAAACCTCACAAATAGCACAGGCGGCATTTCCTCCATGTTAGATTCACGAAACCTAATCCTGCCCTTTTCTGTACTATATACAGCTTTGACTATCAAACCTACTTGTAGTATAAGGTAATCAAAGTTTGAAACTTCAACAAAATCATTCAAAAAAAATGAATAAACTACTATCCAAAACACAGAAATAAACTCAAATTAAAATGGGGGCAGAAGAGTACGCACCTTTTTCTCTGAGATTTGCTTCGGTTGATTCACCTGAAGAGATTAAGCAGAAATTTTCTGCAGAGAAAATGAAAAACCACAAAAGATAAGCACATTGAAGCTCTGAAAATTGAAAATAAAAGGGGATAAAAGAAAAAAAAAGAAAAAAAAAGAAAAAAAAGAAAAAACTCGTCTCCTTTAGAAATAGGCGTTTCCATTTCCAGCTTCCAAGCGCGAATGACTGTTCCAGGAGTAGTTGTAATCGGAGGAAGAAGAAATCTGGAATAAAGCATTGGGCTCCTTCGGTGGTTGTTACTTGTTAGATATCGAAGCCCAACGATCTGGGCCCAAAAAAGACAACTAGAGTAGACCCATGGAGACCTAACCCAAATTTACCTCATCAAAAGCCTAGGTCCTAGAAATTTAACAGCCCGTCTGTTCCGCAATCCCTAAGCATGTTTAGATCTATTAGATAGAGTTTCTTAAAATTTTTATATTTTTAATATTGTTTATGAGTTATAAGTTTAAATTTTTATTTGAAAAAAAATTAAAAATTACTTTTAAAAATAATAAAAAGTGAGTAAAAAAAAATTTATAAAAAACAAAAGTTTGAAACTTTTTAAAATTTGCTGTTTAAAATCTTTTTAAGATTAAAAAAAAAATTAAAAAATATAAGTTTTTAAGAAAAAAATTTTAATTTATAAAATATGAATAATATCCAAAAATTGAAGCACTTACAAGTTTCACTAAACATACTTTTAATTTGAAAGAAATAGAAGAACAGAGAAGGAAGGTAAATAAAAGGATACGATATATTTTCTCTCTTTTTTTTATCAAACTAAATATGTTATAAAGTTTGTTATTAAGATAAATCCATGGTGTTCGGGTTTTTTTTAAAAAATATTTTTCTTGGATTTTTTTATATTGATTTTAGTCTTCTTATTATTATATTTGACATTTTAATTGTCATGAATGAAAATGAAAAATAATGCATGACTAATTAATCCTTGCACTCTAGGTTGTCGATTCAATGTAACTACACTAGTTTATAATTCTTTTTTCTTGCTATTTTATCTATAATTTCTTGAGATTTTTTGCGTGAAGGTACTGAATAAGTTTGTTAAATTTGGTGGGAGAAATATTTCCAAGTGGAATGTGACCAAACATGATGAGATGGATATATAATTAAGGGGATATATATATATATATATATATATGCATACATTTTTGTTTCAATTAATCTAAAGACATTTTTTTGACTTTTAGTAATACACAAAATCAATAATTCTGTTGGAATTAGCAACCCCACAAACATATATCTAGACAATTACTGTTGATTGATATATTATACGTAACGAAGTTTAAATCACTTCTTCCTTGACAAGACAAGATTTATGGCACCTGCAATGTATGCGTCTACATATGTAGAAGGTTGTATTTGACGCCGTAGACAACTCAACCTTGTACGCAGCAAAATTTTTACATCCAACAACGACAGTGTTAATTTTGGTACTACATGTGCGAGAGTACGAACAATCTTTTTTATTTTTTGGTTTGTATTTGTTAGGTATTTTTCAATTAGTTTTTGTACTATTCGAAGCTAAACTATTCTTATAATTTTAAAGATGCAT